TCCCTCTCTTTTTCAAGCTGACTTATTCCCCCAAGGCAATTAACACAAATCTCCTCTTACTTCCTCTTACAAATATACCCGTGGGCATGTCCATAACAGTATAAACTGGTAAAATACGACCTACCAGATACAATGGAGCATGCACTGAAAAATATCACTGTTGCAGAAAAAGGAAAGCAAGGTCTTTTGAAAACGAATGAGTAACGGAAGTCTTTGAATCTGTTAAGCTCGGGAGGTAGGAAGGACGCTCAGGTCGCTCTGATGAGTATTTTTCCATTTGCTGGTTTGCTTTCTTGTTGCATGACTGCGTGCATATTTGCAGACAGCGTTCACAAGTGAACTGTGAGCTCTTCCCATTCAGTGTCTGTTCTTCCTGTAAGAGGCAGAATTTAGGGCAATGATGGAAGTCATAGAAAATGTATGGAACCCTTCTGAACTGAGCCATCCAGATTGAGAACCGTCCGCTCCCGGAAGCAGTGAGCCACTGTCCCCAGGAGCATTCAGACACAGACCGGAATGCAGTAGATAGCCTGCCCACATCAGAACGCTGGCTAGACCAGGTGCAGACTCCTTCCAACTTGGAGAATCTAGGGCCTGGTCAGTGTAAAACGACAGGCTTAAGTCCACGTCGTTCTATCCTAACACTGCTTTTCTCCTTAACTGCCTGGCTCAGTGGGAGGGTCAGTGGTGAGTGTCGAGTTGCCTGGACTCAGGGATACCAAGAAACCTAAAAGGCATTATTCCGGGTGTGTCCGGGAGGGCGTTTCCAGAAAAGATTAACACTTGAGTCTGAGCAGACTGAGTGATGAAGACCCACCCTCGGTGTGGGCAGGGACCATCCCTGGGATGCCTAGACAAAGGGTCTGAAGAAGTAAACGCAGGAGATGACAGAGCTCTTTCGGGAGAATAGGGTAGACTTCCACTGCGTGGACATCAAAACCTGAGGCTCACTTGCTTCAGGCTCTGGGATTCAAACCAGCCTTTGGCCTGAGAACCCATGAGTTACATTATCAGCTTCCCTGCCTCTAAGGCCTTTGGACTTGGCCTGAACCACGCGACAAGAATCCCACGATCTCCACCTCGG